TTGGTTCTATTCCATTTTGATGTGCTCGTGCAGAGGCTCCTAGCTTCAACATTCCTCTGAGGAAAGTGCCACTGAAAAAGAAGTCAGGGGCCGCCGCCGGATCGACCAGCGATAAGGTCGATGGCTCGACCAGCTCCGATGGGCCTCGGCCAGAGCTGCAACAGCAATCACTCTCCCAACAGACTCCACCGCCTCCTCCGCGTTCGCCCCCGCGACAAACTCCTCCTCCTCCGCCGCCGCCCAAGGGGACACAACAGCAGCAGCAGCAACAAAAGCAGCCGCAACCACAACCACAACAACAACAACACCAATCGCAGCAACAAAAACAGCTCCAACAGCAACCGCCAAAGCAACAACAACAGCAGAAACAACAACAGCAACAACACAAATCCACCTCTCAATCAACCACCAAGTCCTCTACTTCCTCGAAAACCGTCGAGCACCCACCCAAGGGCGATGATCGTCAGAAGACCATCGACCATTATCAGAAAACGGACGACCGCTCTCAGAGGACAGGTCCTCGAGCTCCCAATCCCAAAGACCCTAAAAACCAAATTGCCGATAAATCCTCCGAACCCCACACTTCCTCTAAAACCAAGACCCAAGAAAAATTGCCCCTTGTCCAACAATCTTCCAAAACCACTCTCGTCGTATCGACCAAAACTCTGGTCAAATCCGGCAAGAGTGATGACGGGGGGCGTGAGTCAGCCTTGGGCAAGCGCTCTCGAACTGAGCAGGGCGAAATTGTTGCCAAGCGGGGGCGTGCGGGCTATTTGCCCTCTGATCCACTGGCCCCAAAATCGACATCGCTCTTGTCGGCCCCCGTTAACGAGGTGGCCGACCGCCTCGAGGGCGCCCTTCTCGAGGATGATCGCAAGAAGGCCGGCGTCACGCTGCCCGAGATTGGCGACAAACTCGTGCAGTGGTTTGCTCAGGTATTACTCCTCTAACTCTACCCTGGTTCTTCTCCTTTTTCTTTGTCGATTCATGCGCTGAACTGCCTTGTCTTCTTTGTTGATAGGGATTGGTTGATTTCTTACCACTGGCCCAGGAAGCTCGGGATAGCTCGGGCAAGTCGATCAAGGCTCTCGAGAACACCGTTGGCTATTTGCAGGACAAAAATTCGACCCTCCTACAGCATAATGCCAAACTCCGCGAGACACAGACGGAACAGAAAACTGAGTTCGACGTCAAGATTAAATCTCTCGACGAAGAACTTAGTAATAAAGGAAAGGCTCTCGCGGAGAGAGATGCTGCTCTCGCAGCCAAGGAGGCTGCATGGTGGAGAAGGAGGCCGCCATGAAGGAAAAAGAGGCCTTGCTCGATCAAGAGAGGGCGGCTCGAGCTGAGGCAGAGAAGGCTCGACTTGATGCGGAGAAGGCTCGAGCAGAGGCGGAAAAGGCTCGGGCTGAAGCAGAGAAGGCTCGGGCTGAGATGGAGGCCACTTTGGCCAAAGAAAGGGCTGCCCATGCTGAGGAGAAGCAAAGATATACAAATGCCACTGCTCTTCGAGCTCGGCAGATGCTTTGCGCGACGACCACTGGGTAGCTCTTCCTCCGTGAACACCGCGCGCAAGTGGTGGCTGACTTCATGCAGTCACCACAATACTTAAAGGAGTTGCAAGATTTCGGGGTAGACTGCTTTCAGTTTGCCCTGCAAAAGGCCGGGGAGCAAATTGCTGAAGATGATTTCGAGCAGCTCGACCCCTTGGCTATTTGGGATGCTTTGCCCAAGGTGCCCTCGAGCTTCTGCGGGGACCCTTCCTTTCCAGCCGAGCATGAATGGTGGTCGGGTCAGCTCGAAAGAACCTTAGGCCGATCAGAAATTCTAAAGAAGACCTTCGCTCTGCCCGATGATACTACTCCTCCAACTGCCATGTTGGTCGCAATGGCTGAATCTATTCGACAATGCCCTCTTAATGAAGCCTGTGATTCGACCTCTGGTACCGGCCTTCAGCTCGACCCTAATGCCAGCACGAGCAACGCAAACTCCGCCGCCGCTCCTCCACCGTAGATTAGCACTGTATTTTTCGTTCTGTCTTCCTCGAATCAAACTATGTACCGTAATGAATTTTGTAATATCTTTGGAATGGAAATGTTTTGTCTTTCAGCTTGTCTTTATTTTTTATAATGCTTGTGGGTAATTAGACTTGGTGTTCTCGTTGTAACTCTTCTATTTGGAGGATTAAAGCTAACTCCAAGGCAGGATCGATGTGGACTTTAATATATGATCAACAGGCTTTTACTGGTCGGCCTATTCTTCATTTATCGAATCAACGTTTGTGTGTTTGCCCCATGACTGCTTAAAATAATTTTCCCTTTAACATGTGTATATATATACATGCCTACCCCTGGGGGTGGTCGAAGCATGCGACCGTCCAGCCTCGAGGCCTTAGACATGACGGGTTTTAGAATTTTGAACACATGCCCACCCCTGGAGGTGGTCGAAGCATGCGACTGTCCAGCCTCAAGGCCTTAAACATGACGAGTTTTAGAATGAACACATGCCCACCCCTGGAGGTGGTCGAAGCATGCGACCGTCCAGCCTCGAGGCCTTAGACATGACGGGTTTTAGAATTTTGAACACATGCCCACTCCTGGAGGTGGTCGAAACATGCGACCGTCCAGCCTCAAGGCCTTAAACATGACGGGTTTTAGAATTTTGAACACATGCCCACCCCTGGAGGTTGTCGAAGCATGCGACCGTCCAGCCTCGAGGCCTTAGACATGACGGGTTTTCTGCACCATTAGGCTCTTCTTCTATATCCTTGCTTTCGTGTTCGTTTCCCGATCTTTAAATTGCGCCCTTTTTAATGCTTGTGCCTTCGTGCTTTCAGTGTGTGGTCTCCCTTTAGTTTTCACACCTGCCCACCCCGAGGAATGTTCTAAACAGGAGGTCCTCGCCCAACCTGCCCACCCCTGGAATGTTCTAGACAAGCGACCACCCAGCCCGAGGGCCTTAGTCATGGTGGGTTTTGGTCTTCACACTTGCCCACCCCGAGGAATGTTCTAAACAGGACGTCTTCGACCAACCTGCCCACCCCTGGAATGTTCTAAACAAGCGACCTCTAGATCAAACCATACCACATACATCCTGTCATTCAATTGTAGCAACATTCCCAGCATAAGTAAATGTACGATAAAATAGATAAAACCAGAAAGATCACTGAATTTCATTGCGTCTTGATAAATTTTGCGATTTACATTCCAGTTCACATTTCTCATACGTCGTACAGAAATAATAACATATGTAATAAGAAAAAACTTTCAAACATAATATTTTTTCAGATTAGCTATGTTCCATGACCTGGCAAGTGATCGGCCTTCAGCATCTTTAAGCGAGTACGCTCCTCCTTCGTGCACTCGCTCGACCAGGTATGGTCCTTCCCAGTTCGGCTCCAGCTTTCCCACGTGCTTGAGTACATAGACACGTTTCCAAACTAAATCGCCGACTTGAAGTCTGCGAATCTTCACTTTCTTGTCGTGAGCCGCGCGCATCCTCTGCTTATACGCCTCCACCCTGATTGCTGTCTTCCCTCGTAGTTCCTCGATAGTGTCTAAAGCCGCTATCATCAAGTCTTCATTCTATTCCGTATTGTATGCGCTCGACCTCTGGGATGGCATCTCGATCTCGACCGGCAGTAATGCCTCCATTCCGTAAGCCAAGATGAACGGGGTCTCTCCAGTGGTCGACCGCGGGGTCGTACGATACGCCCACAACACAGAGTTCAACTCATCGACCCATGCTCCCGAGGCCTTTTCCAACTTTGTTTTCAGCCCGTTCAATATGATCCGATTGGTTACCTCGACCTGGCCATTTGCTTGCGGATGAGCTACCGAGGCGAAATGCTGCTCGATTCTTATATCTTCACACCACACTCGAATCCGCTTACCATTGAATTGGGTGCCGTTGTCGGAAATCAACACCTTGGGTACACCAAAACGGCAGCAAATGTTGCTATATAGGAATTTGATTACTTTCTCTTCTGTGATCTTCGCCAAGGGCTCAGCCTCCACCCATTTCGTGAAATAATCAACCGCCACTATCAGGAATTTTCTTTGTCCCGTTCCCTGCGGCATTGGCCCCACCAGATCGACGCCCCATTGAGCGAAGGGTATAGGGGCACTCATCGTTGTCATCGCTTCAGCCGGTTGATGGATCAAGGGACCGTGCTTCTGGCACTGCAAGCACTTTTTTACCATCGCTTTCGCATCCTCTCTCATTGTCGGCCAGAAATAACCTGCTCTTAGGATCCTTGCGACCAAGGCCCCCGACTTACTGTGATCGCTGGAGCAACCCTCATGCATCTCCCTCTGCACATATCGACCTTCTTCCTTGGTGACACAGCGTAGATGTGGTCCTCCATATGACCGCTTGTAAAGGATACCTCCATGCTCGAAAAACCTCCTGACCACCTTCGTAGTCCCTTCTCTCAATTCCTCCAAGATCGGGGCCCTCCAATCCCTTACCTCTTCGATCTCCGCCACCTCCGTCTCAACTGCACTTTTCTCCAGATGCAATAGAGTGACACTTCTGCTCTTACAATCGACCAAACATTGGGCAATTTTCGACAACAGGTCTGCTTGACCATTCTCTCCTCGAGGAATTTGTATTAGTTCGAACGATTCAAACTCCTCTCTCAGCTTCTTCATTTCATCCACATATTTCTGCATCCGATCCTCTTTGACTTCAAAACCTTCTTGAAACTGCCCAACCACCAGTTGGGAATCGGAATGTACTTGCAACTTTCGAGCACCCCCCGTTTTGGCTAGACTCAGTCCCTTAATCACCGCCTCATATTCAGCTTCATTATTGGATATCTTGAACCCCACTTTAACCGCGAATTCCAAATAATCACCCTTGGGAGAAACCAGAACAATTCCCAATCCTGCTCCGCTTCGGGCCACAGATCCATCTACAAACAACTGCCATAGTCCCTCTGACTCCTCCTCGACTTTCATGCCTTCCTGGATAAAATCGGCCAACACCTGTGCCTTTACGGCTCTCCTTGGCTCGTACATCAGAGAATACTCGCTCAGTTCAACCGCCCACTTCACCAATCGACCAGAGACCGATGGCCGATCCAATGTTTCTCCCAACGGCATATTCGTTCGCACCTTCACCTTATGATTCAAGAAATACGGTCTCAACTTGCGAGCAGTTACAACTACAGCTAGCGCACACTTCTCGATCTCCGAATACCTCGTCTCTGCTCCTTGCATCACTCTACTCACATAGTAGATAGGGAGTTGCGCTGTTCCTTCCTCCCGCAACAATACCGAACTTACAGCTCTCTCCCCGATGGAAATGTATAGCACCAGCTCCTCTCCTTGCACGGGTTTGGCCAATAAAGGGAGGTTGGCCAACACCCCTCGCAGCTCCTCAAATGCTTTTTGCGCCTCCTCTGTCCATTGGAACTTCGCGCTCTTCTTCAGGGTTTTGAATAACGGGCCACTCTTCTCCGCCACCTTCGATATAAAACGACTCAGCCCCGCAATTCGACCGACTAAAATATGCACCTCTTTTACGTTTGTTGGTGACTTCATCTTCATCACAGCTCGAACCTTCTCCGGATTGACTTCAATACCCCTCTTGGTCACCAGATAGCCCAAAAATTTTCCCGACCTCACTCCGAAAGAGCACTTGGCCGGATTCAGCTTCATCCCGTATCTCCGCAACGTCAAGAATGTTTCTCTCAAATCTCGCACATGATCCAATTCCTCTTTACTCTTCACCAACATATCATCTACGTATACCTCCATATTCCTTCCTAGTTGCTCCTTACAAATTTTATCGACCAACCTTTGATACGTGGCACCCGCATTCTTCAAACCGAACGGCATGACCACGTAACAATAGGTCCCTCGACTCGTCACGAAACTCACCCGCTTCCTATCCTCTCTAGCCAAGGGGATTTGATGATACCCTTGGGATGCATCCATCAGACTCAGCAACTCGCACCCTGCCGTTGAGTCGACCAGCTAGTCGATTCTGGGCAGCGGATATAGGTCCTTCGGGCACGCCTTATTCAGGTCACGAAAATCAATGCACATCCTCCATTTTCCTTCCGACTTCGACACCATCACCGTGTTCGACAGCCACTCAGGGAACTGAATCTCCTTAATATGCCCCGCTCCCAATAATTTCTCGACCTCCTGCTCGATAATCTTGTCCATATCCGCCCCATGGTACCTCCTTTTCTGCTTCACCGGCCTCACACTGAGGTCGATATTTAGTCGATGTTCGATCACCTCGGCACTTATTCCCGTTAACTCTTCTGCTGCATAAGCAAAAATATCAGCGAACTCACTTACCAAATCGATCAACCTTGACCGAATGGGCTCCTCCAGATCCTTCCCGATTCTGAAATTTCTACCCTCGCATCCCTCGATCATCTGAATTTCCTCAACCTCTCCTCCAGGCTGGATGTCCATCTTCTCCTTACCCTTCTCCACTTTTTGCTTCCCCTCTTTCGACCTTGATCTTCCTGGTCGATTGATTTTCTCTCCCTTCGACTCGGCCTGTCTCCTTGCCAATTGTTTGTTATTGCTAACTGTTGTTTGGTAGCAGCTTCTCGAAGTGAGCTGATCCCCGACAATCTCCCCTACGTTTTCGCCCACCGGATATTTGATCGTCATGTGGTACGTGGATACGACTGCCTGGAATGCGTTCAAGCTCGTCCGCCCCATGATGATGTTATAGGATGACTCAGCCCCTACCACCACGAATCTCACCATGCGCACCTTCCTCAACTCCCCTGACCCCAGCGCCACGGGCAAACTGACCTCCCCCATTGGCATAACCTATCCTCCATTAAAGCCGTAAAGCGCCGTGGCTATTGGCTTCAGCTCCACATTCAGCTCCTTGTTAATCTGCACGAAACAATCATAGAACATGACATCCACCGAACTCCCGGTATCAATAAACACCCTCTTTACATCAAAACCCGCGACCTCCGCGGTTATCACCAGAGCATCATTGTGTGGTAAAACTACCCCCTCGGCATCCTCCGCCTTAAAACTTATTACCGGCATGCGCGTTGTTATCCCCACCTCCTCTCTCTTTCTCTTCACCGCTCGCGAATGTTCCTTCCTCGATCTGTTCGAGTCACCATCTGTTGGTCCCCCAGAAAATCATGTAAATCGTTCCTCTCTTCGGCGGGGCTCCTCCTCCTTGCCCTTCTCTATCTCCTTCCTTTCTCGACCTCTTTCCTCGACCATCCCCTCCATCTCCTTCTCCATCTCTATCACTCCTCTCCTCGGAATCATCTCTACATCTCCTCCTACCCTTTCCTCTCACCCTGTCGTGATAGACAAACTCCTTCAGATATCCTGCCCGAATCAACCTCTCAATCTCATCTTTCAAATGCCTGCAGTTTTCCGTAGTATGGCCGTAATCCTTGTGAAATCGACAATACAAATCCGACCGGGGCCGATGTGGACCGGTGAACCTTGTCTTCGGCCAAGTTACGTCCTCAGTCGACATCTTCTGCTCCATGGCCTCGAGCACTTCTGTCATATCTTTTCTCAAAGGAGTAAAGTTGTGATACCTCTGCCTTTCGAACACCATCGGCCTCCTCTGCCATTCATCTCTCTTCTCCGCTCTCGCGTCCCCACTCCCTCTTCGAAGAGACGCTCTCTTCCGCTCGCTCCTCTTAGGCGAGTTTCTCCTTGGTGATCTCCCCCTCGGGTGGTTCTGCTCCTTTTTTGGTTTCGGCTGGGACACCCCTTCGAGCTTTGCAAACTCCATCTCCATCTCCTCCAGATTAATGTATTTCCTGCATCGCTTTAGAACATCCTCGTATGATCGAGCCGGGGTCTTTGCCAAAGAAGTTCGGCAGGGCCCTGCTCGAAGACTCCTAATTAATCCTCCCGCCTTCACCTCATCTGAAGCAGAGTGCACCTCCAAACACGTCTTATTGTATCGAGCAACATACTTCCTCAGCGACTCCTTCTCACCCTGTTTCATCGCCATCAAGGTCAAATAAGTCTTCTCTTGCGCCACTGCGCTCGAATATTGATTAGTGAGCTTGCTGGCAAGATCCTCAAAATCCGCAATCGACCCCGAAGGTAGCTGATGAAACCAGTCAAGCGCCCCTCCGCGTAAGGTCGACAAGAATGCCCTGCAACAAACAGAATCAGAGTATCCATGTAACACAGCCATATTCTCAAAGGTCCTCACATGCCTCGATGGGTCAGATGACCCATCATACACCAAGTTGGTTTCCTTGAAATTGTTTGGCAAAGGAGCAGCGAGAATCTCCCTTTAAAAGGGATGTCCTCGAGCTCTCCTCTCTGGCCTCCCCTCCACCTTATCTTGCAACTGCCGTAACTGCTCCGCCATCCTCTCTATTGCCCGATCTCTTCTAGCTCCTCCTTCTCCATAACTAGACACATCCTCATCCTGGTTCCCCATTGTCGTTGCCGGTGCAGTGGTGGCGTGCGATGTGTGACTTGTGACCTGCTGCACCGCCTGCGCCGTCGCAGCCGCTGCTATCCTCTGCATCTCCTCCCGGGTCATCATAACCACTTGCTGGCCCGGGGTTTGTACGGCTACCCGCGGTGGCACCCCTCCTTGTTCCTGCACTCCTCCTTGCCGTTGTGCTGGATCTGGTGGTGGTGGTGGTGGCATCGCCGCTGCCGCTGCTAAACGAGCCTCTTGGGCCTGACTAGAGCTGGCGTCTCCGCCGGGAATCACCGTCGTCGCTCCTACACCTTGGAAATTAGGTGCGGGAGTGACCGGAGTCTGCGATGGGCCAGAAAAACCCGGAGGAGGGCCGTGCCCTAATGGCCTGATCGTCGTCAAAGCTTCGTCGAACGTCGGCTACAAATTTCTAGGGATTCCGTCCGCCATAGCTGAGCTTCAAACACAACTTTTTGAACAAAGATTCCCCACAGACGGCGCCAATAATGCAAGTGTAAGCGTCCGGGTCCGGTTTGGAGTAGATCGATTCTTGTCCTTGCGGGTAGAACACCGAGAACCTGCAAATAACTCTCACACCGGGGGTTGGATCCGGTGAAGAGCCTCCGATGCTTAAGTCAGTATGTGTATGAGTATACTGGAATTTAGAGAATG